CTTGAAAAAAGCCTAACAGAAAATTGATGTCAACGAGGACTGTTCAGATGCCCCTCCTGAGCCGGATAGCGCCCTCAAGTATAAGAGCACTGATGCGGTTTTTCTTATCACCTACTAATCGCTTCGCGCGAATACTACAATTTCAACTAGGCCAAATACAGCAGAAAGACGAGGAATTGAGCTCAACACCCACAACAATGCATAAATGAGGTGCTTGCGCCCTCGTGGCCTCATAAGAGGTTTCAAATATTCTGGTCAACCGAGCCTTGGCACATAGCAAACAGACGTACAGCTTTCACAGGTAATCATAATGGAATTACAATTGTGAACTACAAGACTAAGGCAGCGTTCAGACTTCGCGACGGCAGCGCTTCGGTCGCGCTCGACGCGATCGATGCAGTCGAAAGCATGCGCATCGATCGCGCCGAACGCGCGACCGAGGCGCTGCCGTCGCGAAGTCTGAACGCTGCCTCAGAGAAAATAAGTTTCGACATGATAACGCAAAATAATGACGAAAGATGGTAAGTAGAGAATAAAGAGGAAAAACTCACGGTCACTCATTCTATTCCCACAATTAAACTCGAAGCCATCATCAGTTGAATTGTTTAGATCGGTGTATTGCGATCCAACTCCATTCGCTAACCGTCTGAGAAACCGATTCACCGAGCCTGTACGCTCACTGAAATTTAAAGTCTCAGCAAAATAGCGCGCAAACACGAACACAAAACATGAAGGTAAAAGGACAAAAAAGTAAGAAAAACAGAATTCCCAATGATTGTTGAGAAATATGATACAAATAACCAACCCTCCTTGCCATAAATGTCGGCCAAACGGCGATGCATCGCGTAATCGTTGCAACGGCGATGGATCTCGTAGATGTTGCAGCGACAAAATGGATTTGCGTTCCTGCAAAAATTATTTTGGGATTATGTCAGTGAATGGGTACATTAGTATTGCCACCATCACCATCACAACAACAAGACATCACAACAGTTTTCGCCATCTTTCCTCGGCACCAATCGCCTACGATCGATCACCTTCATGTATTTTTCGGGTAGAGCTTCAATTAGCATGGATATTTGAGTGCCACTTATTGCCCAACCATTCAATCAAATTTTTCTCGAAATAACGGAGATGCTCCAGTTGAGGAAGACTTCAAAAATTGTTTGTCGTTTCAGATACTTTTGCGGATGCTACGTTTCAAATAGGAAACAGCGGTATCTACTGAACAACATCAAAAGGAAACATGCGAGAGACGTCTTTTGCGTCTTCATCCGAGCACAGCACATTTTGCAACAGCATGCAGCGCAATTTTTTTTTCTGATTG